TCCAGTTCATTAACCCACAGCGCCACACCAAGACTCCACAAAGGACATAAGAAAAAGTTGATGGTTCCCCGGGAAGCCCACTGCACAGTCCTAGGCCAATCTCCTGCTGGCCCCTTGATTCTACTGCAGTTTCTCTTCCTTTGCTTTATAACTTCTCTCGTTGTGGCTAGTGGTACAGCAATTTCTTGTGTCCTGTGTGGAGAAGGTTCTCAATATAGTTATCTTTAGCTCAAAGGACAGGCTTCACTCCTGTCTCCTCTTCTTAGTGGCTGTGAGGTCCCCTGTTGCTCTAGAAATGGCTACCTTTTAATCTTGGAATGATGGTAAAACTGACCACTCCCCGGGTTGGAGTTGCATAGTCCCATCAATATAAAGGCACCATGCACTTTGTGTATATTAGCAAGCTATGGAGTCCCCTTGGTGGGCCATAAGCACCTCATTTGCATAGTCCCGCCCAGGCATTTGGTTGGTGGTGTTGTGTACAGTGAGTCAGTTCCAACCCATGGAGACCTTGCACAGAGTTTCTAAGGAGTGACTGGTGAGTTCCACCTGCTGATCTTGAGGTTCTAACCGACTTTACAGTCCAGCGCATTAACCCACAGCGCCACACCAGGACTCCATTACACATTTCACCACGATGACACACTCCCTGGATAATATTTCAAAGACCTCAGGTTAGATAATCATATCCAAGGAGGGCTTCAAAAGTTTGTGGAAAAACAGAATAGAAAAACAGTGGAATTTTTTTCCATGAACTTTTTGAAGCCCCCTGGTGTTTGTTCCTATTATTTAGTAGTTGGTTAATTACTTTCTGAGGGAGTAATCCTAGACATGCTGTCCACTGGTCTAAGGCTGGTCTAAGGCTGATCTCATGAATCACTTCTTTTAGAAGAATCAGCGCAAAGCTGGTTTTTAGGAGGTATAAGGAGCTCTGGTAGCGTAGTGGTTACAAATCGGGCTACTAATCTCAAGGTCAGCAGTTCGAAACTACCAGCTGTTTTGCGGGAGAAAGATGAGGCTTTCTACTCCCGTAAAGATTTACAGCCTCGGAAACCCTGTACAGGGACGCTATGAGTCGAAACTGACTCCGTGGCACATAACAACAACAATATTGCAGATGTCCCAAGTATCTCGCTTTTTCAAACTACCGAATTGCTCCATCCTCTCTAGCATCAACTATGCCTCCTGCCCTCAGTACTCTCCCTTCCGTCTTTGGGTTCCATATTCACTGCACCATTTCACAGACCTAGCGAACTTTCGAGGTGTGGCTCATATGGTTGTTGCGGCTGGTAAGCCCCCGACCTGTGGATCATGCATCAGGCTGGAGGCTTCTCCATGAACCTAAATTGGTAGGTCATATGACAGGCTGTTGGGTCACAAGGTTGTGGAAACTGACGAATCATAGGCTGCTGGCTCATGTTCCAAGAACTGGATGTCAGATGGTGACCAGCATGATTCAAGGTCCAGAGAATGTTGGCAGCAGAACATGTTAGGTGTAGGTGTCGTACATGTTAGGTGCAGATCATACCTTCAGGGTAACTCCCCTTGCGTGAGCAAGGCGGTGCAAAGACATGAAAGGTGGTGATTGGGTAAGAGTGATGACTGAGTCACACCCTCTAGTAAACTGGTGCCACCTTATTTGTGCCTCGTGAGCATAACAGACAACTCTACATACATACAATCATAACTACAGCCATACAGGGACTCTCAAAATGGAGAATAATGACATCATAATGATGTCATTATAGAATTGCCAAATCTCATAATTACATAGCTGCCAAACCATTCAGAATCATGACTCAGTCAAATTGACATATAACCTTAACCATCACAGGTTCCATAAACCATTTGCGACAAACTCTCCAATCCCCTTGGTGGGCCAGCAGCAACTGATTTGCATAGTGCAGTCCAACACATGTGTGAGAGTCACAAAGACTGTTTCAAGAAAGGCCATGTTCAGGAGGCAGGCTTGCAGTTATTATATATTAAGTTATTATATATTCCTGAGTGTGTTTGTGTATATTTTTCCACCTCCACCCCCCCCAAAAAAAAGAAAAACAGAGAAAATGGAAGCAAATACTGTTGAATGATGATGCACGGAAGAGATTGTGATCATTGCAATGCGTGTAAAGCTGATGTTTTCCCATGTAAACTATCACTCAGTTCACAATAAAAAAAATTAATACATGCATAAACAAGAAAGGACATGTTAAGTAATTCATTTTATCCCAAGCTGCAAAAATTGAATCTTGTGGCCTTCTGGCCCAGACAGTTTCATACGCATGTACACTTTCTGATTTGTAGCTGTCATGGATTGAATTGTGTCCCCCCAAAAGATGTGTTGTGAATCCTTACCTCTATGCATGTGGTTAGAATCCCATTGGCAATGGATTGTATTTGTTGTGTTAATGAGGCAGGCTTTTTGTGGGGTATATTGTAACTCAATATTATTTGAGATACATGATTAAACAAGGAGGCAGAGATGGGAAAAGATAGATACCAAACCACATGGAAAACTTCAAGGAACCAGGAAACAGAAACTGTTTCCTTCAGAGCTGAAAGAGAGAGGAAACTTTCCTCTTGAACCAACGCCCTGAAGTAGGAAATCTAGCCTTGTAAACTGTGAGAAAATAAATTTCTGTTTGTTAAGATCATCCAATTGTGGTATTTCTGTTATAGGAGCACTAGAGCACTAACATAATTTTAGCCCGAAAAGTCAGTGTTCTGTTCTAACAACTTTCTACAGTATGGAAGTGGTTTTGGAATTAGGTATTGAGTTGAGGCTAAAAGAGTTTTGAGGTGCCTGCAAGTAAAAGTCTTGAAGAGACTGTCAGTAAAATTATGAGTGTCAAAGGCAGTTCTGGTAAGGACTCAGAAGGAAGTGAGAAGAGTTACTGAGGAAGTCTGTATTGTCTTCGAGAATACATATGGCGGCCAGCGATAGACTGTTGCTAGAAACATATG